CCTGCGTTCCTTGCAACAATAAAACTCATTAACGTCTTCTAATGATACTGTCAGACAAGTGAGCTAAATCACAATAACAACAGACCTTAGATCGTAAAAAATATCTGCTAAAAAAATCAAAAATTCCAATAGATTTTTTCACACGAGTTTGAATTCAATGACATAGTGCAAGGATTCTTGTAAACATTGTTTTTAATGTGATTTATTACTATGTTTCTTCATTTCTAATAACGTTTATTCTTTCATTGATTATAGCAAAATTTTGAAACAAATAGTGATTTAACTTACGTCATAACGCGCAGGTATTTTCTAGATTAAACTGCTTAAAAATAGAGGCACTTTCTTAAAAAATATACTTTTCATGAATTACAATGCTGGTTATATCTTCTATACGTTTTAAAAGTGTTCAGATTAACTGTGATTTGTAATTAACGGCCCACGCTATCCCGAGTAGTATCGCTTTCAGTCTGATATCTGCTCTAATTCTTCTTAAATATCTTCAAAATCTCCTTTTTTAATAAACGTCATTTCATTTTCCAGCTTCTGGACTACCTGCATTAGCCATTATTATGCAACACTTGTTTGGCGATAATTATTTAGAAAAGTGTCCTGTCTCCTTCGCACTGAAGATGTTTTTCGCTTCAAACAGTTTCTTCCTATTTTTTATCTGACATATAGATTAACTGTGATCTACAATCACATTATAATTTTAATAGCAAATAATTTCTGTCACAATCCTATACATTTTAGGGAATTTTTCGTGCCACACACTTTTCCATTTAATGTTCGCCTGAAAATAGTTTCCTCTCAATCTGCTGAAAATTCCAGGAACTTTCTCATTACTAAACCCTTCCTTGCCTAATTACTTTTATCTCAGATTTAGAGTAGTTGCTTAAACGTAACTTTGTCAAAGGCTTTATAAAACTACACTGTTGTCCGTTTCATCTCACGCTAGAAACACAGAAGACATCTAGGAAGGCAGTTTGTCAAAATATTATCCCAATTTTTTAATGTTGTTTGATAAACAATTCTGAGAAAGATCGAATTTAGTGTTATATCTTTTTTCCTACGGACTTTTATCAAACTATTTGAGAAACAAAATATCAACATTTTCCCTTTGATCATTAAACACATAGGTTTCGTATCTGTTGCTTTAAGTTTATCAAAAATGTAGATTTTTATGCTTAATGTGATAAATGGTATAAAATGTGCCAGCGGCACACAAGTAGTACTCTTCCTAAATCAGTGAAGGCATTCTGACAAAATATCCTACCATCTAATAAGTTTATGTTTATGTTGGGTACGGACTCAGAACTTAAATTGTGGTAGTCACTTTTCTCGAAGTTCCTTCTCGTAGAAAACTGAGTAATTGAGCTTGGAAGAAAATGTTTACTGAATGAGTTATAGAAAGACTACATTGCTGTGGAATTTGTAAAAACATAGGGATAGTGAATTGATTCTCGGCTTTGGTTAACTAACGGTTCTCAGTCACAGTTATGTCGAAAGCAAAGGCGATGTGAGAAAAAACGTTCTTGGCATTCACTCAGTGTCTTAAACGGTCATACAAGGGCATCGCATATATCGCAGAGTAAATTACAGCAATAAACAGAAAAGAAGCTTTTGAAGATTCAAAATTATAAAATGCCATGGTAAAGTTGTCAAATCTAGTTATCTTGGACACATAACTAGATTCCTGAGTAGGAATAGAGAGCTTACTCAAAGCCTTGTTCGTGCGTGTGTAGAAGATACGACAAAGATGAGAAGGGTTAAATTGTTATGTGTTTCGATAGTAAGTACCTGAAAGGTTGCCTACTCAGTTGACAATAACGCTTAAATTTTCTAACAACAGTAATATATATATATATACCAACATCAATAAAACCAGTACGTTTTGCGTTGTGTTTTCGGATTAACCCTGAAATCAATTTGAGATGTAGACTGGTGAAAATCATGAGCACACAAAAAAAAAATAAATAAACATTGACTGATCTAGAAAGTGAGGCTATTTATTAAATTCTTCAACAATTACTTAATCCATTAATTTGAAAGCAATTTATATTCAATCAGAACTGTAACATATTGATTATTACACAATTTATAATTAACTTAGTAAGCAAATTATATTCAAGCTGAACTGTAAAATATGGATTTCTACAAATGCATACCCCTACAGAGTAATATTACTTTTATCTTAAGAGTCACTAATAATTATCAACTATTATTTCTATTACATTCAGGTAAATATAATCAGAATAAAACTTTGGATAAATTAACAATACCCTCCCCGGGGAGCCAAAAAAGAATAATTAACAAGTTTACACTTTCCAAAAAAAAAAAAAAAAAAATAGAAACATTTCACACAGAATAATCAATACCAATGTAATTCAGGTTATTGCACATAGTAACATTTAATCAATACCAATGGAATTCAAGTTATTGCACATAGTAATTTTCTATTTTCAAAAAGAATAATTTAACCGGGTAAAATATTAATTTAATTCAGGCTATTACATCCTACAAGCAATTTAGTCCCTAAGAGGAGCAAAGAAGCTCAAATAATGACACCTTTACAAATCAATCTTCACCATGAAAGAAATTCACAAGTTCAATTAAATAATTTCAGGAAGAACTTATTTCCTTAACCAATCTAACTAAGTTACATACACGGTTTCAATTAAATAATTTGAATAAGGTTATATTTCCTTAGCCAATCTAATAATTTGCTTTATCGACAAACCAAAATGATTTCTTTAGAATTAGGTTAATTTACTCAACTACAAAATTTTAATTTAACTAATTAAGTTATTTCAATCACTATTAACTGCAGAATTTTTTTTTTACGTCTGACTACAAATAAAAAAAAAAACTTATCTGAGTAAATACTGCAAGCAGGCAAGTGAAGGAGGAGAAAACCTTCTTATTAAAAAGAATTATCATTGATGCCCAGGAGGACGGATGACAAGCGTGGAGGAGTGTAGAAGAGTTCATAAGGAGATGAAATTTCAATGAAGCCGAGAAGTTTCTAGTTGATTTAGGATGCACTATGGAGGTTACAAGTCCTTGGACTAGTTGATTTAAAATCCAATATTGAAGTTAATAGTCGTTCAGCAAGAGAAGAATTCTGAAGTTACATCAGGAAATCGGATAGTGGAATCGACGGACCCATCCTCAGAGGTCGTAGACACAACGAGAAGCATACTCAAGCCAAATGAAGCATTCTATTGTAGCGACCCCGGAGCTAGCAGTGAAGGAATTTCTTGCATAGTGGGAAATAATTCTAGAAGCGTCGTAGAAACATCGAGACAGATGAAGACTCCATTCGTGGAGGAGACACTGAAATTTTCTTCTTAACGGCACAAATACCAGGCATCACCTTTCGTTGCATTTTTCTATTTTATTTTTCTTTGAGTAACTTAAACGTTAAATATTCAAACCCAAAAAAACTGATGAGAAAATAATTAGGTCGAGGACATGATGCATAAAACTAGGGCCCTCGCTCAAAACACAAGGGCAAGAAACCCGTAGATCCAACGGTAGAAAATTGCATCTTTCCGGAAAAAAATCTGCTGCCGGCGTGTACAGCCTCCGAGGGTGAGTCAAAAGTCCAAAAAAGTGACCTTGTCCCTCAAAACAGCCCGTTAAAAGGGAACGCGCGGGAATACCAACTTGGCAGTGCTCACGCCCCGCCAAAAATGAAACCAGTTGCAACTTCAGCATTCCTTCATGCTAACAATCTCGCCGAAATCACCACTTTGAAACCCCAACGGAAACTCCACGTCGCCAAGCAGTCGCCAAGCAGCCACGCCTCGCGAAAGGGAGAAAATTGGAATTTCAACAACTCTGTACTCAGTCCCAAGGAAAGTGCACTTTAAACTCGAAAAACGATTATTTTACCGGAAAGAGAAAGATTTCTTCCCACAGAATAGAAATCACAATGACAACGGAAAAAATCTATTAATTAAAGCTCATAGCTAAAATGCAATTGAAGTTGGGAACACAAAAGTTATATCAAATTACAGAGCTAATTTTTCTGCAACTATTGATATTAAATACTAAGAGTTTGACTTAATTTTTATCATGAAAAATTGAGTTTATTACATGAAAATTCACCTATATCCATTGTCTGGGTGTACAAGATTGAATACGCTGTCGCGTAAAACCAAATAATCGAACTAGATTGCACTAGAATTAATAAGCCAAATAAATGAATATATCCAAACTTGTTGTGTAGCTAAAATTTTGAATATTTACAAATTAAAATTTTGATTTCTATGATTCACTTAATTATATTAAATTTGCTACAAAACAAAATTTACCCTTTATTTCCCACAGCGTACAGCCGTCTCGCACATCGGGATACAACGACCAGCACTTGTGGTCTAAAACGTAGAAAATAAGAACTAAACTAACTAAAATAAAAACTAAACTTAGATGCTTTACAGAGAGTAGTAACGCGAAGATTGGCCTTTTTAACACTACGTATGTAGTGAGCGGAATGTAAAAGACTACAGTTCGTCTTCAAATATCAGCGAGAGTTAAGTTCTGGCAAAGGCAGACATGAACTGACTGAAAAGCACGCGCGTGGTAAGGCAGCGAGAAGTCTCTCTCTCTTTTGGATAAAAGCCGTATCTTAAATACTTATATAGTTTACAACCTCATTTGCCATAAAACAAATCTAATCGCGCTTAATCTGGCGGCCGGAAATAGAAAATAAAAGAGGGTAGCAAAGTTTTAAAATAAAATAAGCGCTTAGTAAAACTTAAAATCCTCACAAATTATGTGTCGATTTGGGACAATTTCGTTAAACTTCACAATTTGAATATTTTTATAAGGAAACTCTAAATTTTGTAAACAGACGAGCAAATAAGTTTCTAAACGGAACGTTCATAAAAGAGATTTCGTTCTAAAATTGTCAGTTTGTATTCTTGCCTGATTTAAAACTTTATACTGCAGTACTTATTTTACGGATGCTTTAATTTTCCTTTCGCTTTTTCACTTAGGAGAAGAAGCACATAAGAAATCTATGTCTTGTTCTGAGACTGTTTCAGAAAACGTAAGTACATTTTATATCTGTTACAATATTTCTCTTGATATATATCAAGAATATATATATAAACGTAAATTAATAAATTAGTAAAAGTATATTAAACCATCCCAGGAAGATGTCAAAATTTAAAACGAAATCTATTAGAGTGCTTAAATTATGAATCCGACAATATATGGCATTGCTCAAAATTTAGAGAACCGAAATCGAATAAGCTGCAATACTAGATAACTATGCACTTTGCTTCTACTTCTGAAACCGCTAAGATGCTGCCGCGCTGTTTTTCTTCTATAGAAACAATATCAAAAATGTAAATCTACTGGAAACAGGCACGATTAGAGTGCCAAGTGAGTTGTGGCCACAACTGTCAATTGAAATAAAAATGAATATTTAATCTGCCTCGCTGCCAAGTTTACTTTTCACTTAAGATCAACATCTTAATATCTGCGCAGCCTAACGTTCCTACATTATTACATCTAAATCTGCTTCATTACATCTAGTCTGACAGAATGTCGTAAGTGCAGCTGGAAGATTCACGTACGGAATTATAAAATGTGTTAACGAAAAAGACTAATTTGTGGTTATTTTGCCACACACTTGCCATGACTACTAATTTTATTTTATTTTTCATGCATATGAAACATCGTTTTTTGATCTATTTAAGATCCAGAAAAGGAAAAAAATACTGTCATCTACAGTGCTTAAAATTATTCCAGCCAAAGATTTATATTAAAAGTGATTTAATAAGTTTTCAGGGAACATCCCAAATGATTTAAACTACGCATTCCCAGTGCTTTGAAGGTCGTTAATCTAATCTATGTTTGAAGAATGTGCTTCAAGTTTGTGCGCGTTAAATTTATTTTCACTTCATCTCTTTTTTTCTATTTTATTCGTCAATCGGAAACTCTAACCGTACTGTGGATTTTATAATTTTATATTAGGTATTATATATGAATAAAGTAAGGTTTTATACAGCTAGAAATTTGTATATTATAAACATATGGAAATTGCTGATCATTACTATTACTCGTATTTTGAATATTAGTAATTTATTTTAATTATTATAATGAATAAACTTGATTTAGTAACAAATTTCAAAACTTATAATTATTTTATTTAGGGAAGGTTATTAAAATTACTCTGTTATTAAACATATGTTTTAATTATTGTTTCAAAGATCCTTTAAATTTGTTTAAGAATTTGGTAATTATTTTGATAATGATGTGAATGTGAAAAATCGAATGAAGTAATTTAGAAAAATTGGCATAGAATATGATATACTATTAGTGTTTTGAATAGACGCTCAGGACTATTAAATATAGCGCGTCGGGAAGAAAGGAAAGTACGATCGCAAAATTTGCAAATAAATGCAAATGTCCGGACCGTCACCGCCACTATTCCCAACTGGGTGTATATTATGGTGCGTAAAATTAAGAGAATTTCCGCATTACGTCGAATTTATGAAAAGTTAATGCAGAGATTTTAATGAAATTTCATATGAATATACATTTATAAGACAGAAAGAGACATACCAACTCATGGTTATCAATAAAGCTCATAGTACAGAGATGTCGAAAATGCACGTTGTGATACTGAACTAAAAATGAGTCTACTATACTATGTGGTATAAATCCCTCTCATAGCCAGCCAGGTCGCGTAGCGTAAAGGCATACTGGACATGAAGTCCCTATGGCAGTCAATACCACTCCTGCAGCAAGGATATTTTCCTCTCCCGGATGGTTCTAGTAATAACAAGACGGCGAGATGAAATTGCCCGCTCAAGAGCGTCCCAGACATGCCGTATAGGGTTAAGGTTAGGAACTTTAACTGGCAAATCCATGCGATGAATATCCTCACTTTTCACGCAATCGTTGAATAGCTGAGGTTTATGTGGATTTATGTTTGTTGTCGTCCATTAACAGAAACCCAGGACGCACTGGCTCTTAAAAAGTAGAACGTAGAGTTCTAAGATCTCCCCTTTATACATCATAGTAGTCAGGGATCCTTTTTAAAAAATATACAGGTATGTGAGATAGTCTAACATAATGCCTTCCCAAACCATTACACCTCCATCACCATAATGATCCTTTTATTTTAAGAGATGGTGAATACCGTATTCTAGGCTGTCTCCAGATATAGGTAGACGAAAATCAGTGACCGAGCTAAATTTCGCCTCATCAGTGAAACGCACTCTGCTCCACTGAAGTCTTTTCTAAGTCGCATGTTGTCGCATGTCTTTAAGTTGCCTGTTGTCTGCGCCATGCTAAAGTCATTCTCTTGTGTGTTGCAGTAAGTGAGACGCAAACAGCGCGTCTTCTGTTATACCACGCGAGCTCATGAAAGTGTATGGTGTTTGGTGTTTGGTGCAGTTAATTATGGCAAAGCACACTAGGGCTATCTACTTAAGATGAGGGATGCCTTCGTGGAGGACTTTCTAAGGGGAACTGGCTCGTATACACGTTACGGGGGAAATCACGAAACGCACATGCAGCCATTCGCGGGATTCGAACCTCGAACGTAGTTCAGCGACTTACCGCTCGGTGGTGTGCCCTGAGAAGGCTTCGGCAGGCTTCAGTGGCAGCTGCAGCTCATGTGAGAGCTGTGAAGCTGTAGTAGTCCCGCGTCACCACGCTGAAAATGCCAAGTAACAATCATTCTTCGTTGCGGATCTTGGTGTATCTTGGGGAAGTTTTCTCAATATGGATCCAATTTCCTGAAACTGTTTTCACAATTTACAGACAAAAATGGCCTTACAATGAGCTCGGTAGCCACCTGCGTTTGTGATTTGTCTACTTACCATCTACCCACAATGCTCCATCTCATTCTGTCATTCGTACGTTCGTGCTTTCTCATATTACCTGATGTCATATAAAATTTACCTAACTCTTGCAAGAAACACGGTGAAAGTCGTGAAGAAGTACGAGCACACCTCTCGTGGGCTTATATCCCCTACAAAAGTAATTTCGCGGACTCGCACCTTTAGGCTTAGGTATTCGACTCTGAATATTTGCGTAATTCTTCGGCGGCATAATTAATACCTTTGTTTCAATATTTTTCATAAAAATATACATTTTTCGAAAATTCTTTTAATTGTGCACATGTGTGTATTTCTTAAACCCAATAATACATTTGTTGGACAAATTCGCAAATATGTTTTTACCGGATGAAGAGCTGTGTTCGCGGCTGGAAACAATTTGTCTCTAACCGTGTTGCAGAAATCCAATAATGCCGTAACCTCGAAACAGGAATTTTTGTTCAGGAAATGAAAATCCAGCCCATGAAATTACGTGAGGGAGACTGTGGGGAATAAGCCTAGATAATTTCGGGAATCTCAGAATCCCAAATTCCGGACATCTAGCGTTAAATATCGTGACTATGCTTATTCTAGAAATGAATGTCAGTTAAATATTATGCAGGTATCGTGAAAGTAAATCATAATCGGAACCTCTATTTCACTTAATTAATTATCGCAACCTACACAGGGTTATTCGGCTAACAGCATTGATATTAAGACAGTGGTTGCCAAACCTTTTCGAGTTGCGGCGCCTCTTTTTAATTAAATTATTCTACAGCGCCCTATCCTAAACAAAATTGTAACTAATCATAAGGCATAAAATAAATAAAACTCGTGTATCTCCATTATTTAACTTTTTTACTTTATTGACTAATAACATTAAATTAATAATTACTATTAACATCAAATGTGATGGATGCGCCTGCAAATCAATGCACATTTTCTCAAACCGTGGAATTAAGCAATACATGGCCACGTTCATTTTCTTTCCCATGTTGATTTTTGCTCTATCCCTGCTTTTTATTACACTGTAGGATCGTGTTCTCTTTGACAACATAAACTGTACAAATCTTACTAAAGAACCTGGCTACATCAAACCAACACAGAAGAAGGGTAAAAATAACTCTTTATTTATTTTAAATATGAAATGCATGCCTTTAACAGAAAGGCATGCATTTCATACTTAAAATGACACCGACAACTTGCGGTGGAAATTAAGAATCGTTACACAATATATTCGAGGATAAAGAGTAGTGCTGGACTAGCACTTGAAGTTTAGGTTAACTAAGTTGACTTGGTAACCTACCGGGCATGATAATTATTTAAACGGCCAAAAAGGCGCATCAGCAATTCCGCGTGTTAGCAAAGACAGACTCCTAACGTGCGCTGGCCTAGCGAAAACACGCTCTGAATAAACTCAGGACTCACCCTTTTAAATACTCAATTCACTTAACTCTAAATTTGCGTCCTGGCGAGGAAATGCGAGGGGAAGTTGAGGAGTTCCGAAAAGATAACAAAAATTTGAATAATTGGTTAACTGAACTAAGGGAAATCCTGCAACACGACCGATGGAAACCAAGCTTCACACAAAACCAAGCTACGTCGAAAATTGAATAAAAATCTTCCCGAGCCTGGACTTCAATGAAAGATGAGTATCCCCTTAATTAGAAGGGAATACTTATCTTTCATTGAAGTTCAAATTTCTGCCAATTCCATGCTGCCAAATTTGGCTTTCAAACTGTTGTCGCAAGATAATTCGATAAGATTTTGTTCTTCCTCAGCAGTGAATTCAGACGCAGCACTAGTGATAAAGGAATCTTGATCCTTGCAAATATATCGAAATTTTTATTTTAAAAGTATTTCTCAAACCAGATCATTAGCTGGATGCCTTTCAAACATGGTTTTTATATTTTCAGAAAGTTCAAGTTCATTTGACGTCACAAGTTGTTGCAATATTAAAAAACAATCTTCGCCTGGATCATTTTCTTCTCCATAGTTTGAGTTTTTTTTATAAAAGCTGATATTTTTTCCTTTGACTAATACAAATAAGTCGCATGTGTTTTTCCCTGAAGAGAGTGAATAAGATAACACAGCTTTTCAAAAATGTTGTATAAATATACCAGTTTTATTAAAAAATCGGCATCAGCAAAATCTTCTGTATTTTTGCATCCTTCCTCTTTAAAGAAAATAAATATGTATTCCCGCTTTCAAAGGTACGTGATAAAACATTATTGTAAGGGATCTTTCGTGAACTGCTATAGTCCAAGAAAGACGAATATTCGGCTTCCATATCTTCACACAATTTTTTAAAAAGCCTCACTTTCAATTGACTTGATTTTATAAAATTTACAACATTCAGCACATATTCTATAACCTGATTTAGCGCAGCACTCAAATGCTTTGACGCAAGCGCTTCTCTATGAATAATGCAACGTGTGCATAGTGCACTTGGTAATTTGCTTCCAATAAGTACCTGTAATCCTCCATAGTAACCAGACATGTAAGTAGGTCTCAGTACAGATACCAGCGCACTTAAGGCAATTCAGATTATTTTCAGATGAGAAAGCATCTAGAATATCGAACAGTTCCTGAGTCTGGAGTGATAATTTTGCAGATTGGATTATTTAATTATGGCAAAGCACACGAGAGCTATCAGCCTAAAGGGAGTGATGCCTTCGTGGAGGACTTTCTAAGGGCAACTGGCTCGTATACACGTGATATTTTTGCAGAATAGAAGGTCTTATTTAACATTATTATCGTACATAGCATATCAAATAAGCATCTTTATTATTATCCGTAACATTATCTAGCTGCCATCCCAACTCCTATAGTTTTTTCAAATACTTGATCGCTGATATCCTCCGCCGTATGTTTCATTCTCCGACTAATAGTTTTATTGGACAAAGGCACACTTTCAAATCCAGGGTTCTTAGCAGATTCTCCAACCATGATTTTCAGCATATCTACAGCAGCTGCTAAAATAAGCTCTTCTGCAACTGTATGAGGCTTCTTTAATTATGCGTTTCTGTAAGCCACCTTGTAAGACGCTAACAAAGCTCTTTTGGTATTGATGCAGTCTTAAAACGTGTATATTTTTTTTTGTTTAATTTCTTTTAACTTCCTGGCACAAAACGCACGAGGTTTGCCAACCTTGCTGTAGTGATTTGCTTTTAGATGGCGGCTCGATTTACATGAGAGCAAACATTCCGCTGCCAAAACTTTTTACACAATACACATTGTGGTCATTCTTCAATATTCATTTTTGTTGACTTAAAAACAAACTCTAAATAATCGTCATCATATTTACGATATTTTTGTTTTTTCACAGTCGTGCCACTGATTGAAGACATGCTTTCTTTATCTGCACTATGTTGTTTATCACTGTTCAAAAATCGGTCTTCCATCAAAGACAGAGCAAAAAATCACAAAACTATTTATCAAAGACAACAAACAAATATAATATAATACTAACTATGCTGCATGAACTAATTTAAATCACTTTCTATTTATATAAAGCAGTGAGTTTGTATGTTTTCCTCAAGATCTTCCAGAATAGTCCAAATCTGTCGCAAAGGGCCTAAGTTAAGAAAAGGGGACAGGATGAGCAGGAAAGCAGCTGGCAGAAACGGAAGCAGACCGGAATGTAAGCACATCTGAAGATTGTAAGTGAAAATCGGAATAATAGCAGCTGTATTCAGATGCCCGTTGACGAAGATTCAGCTTTTTGAGGAGAGTGCGGACGACGGTCCCGCAGGATCTACGGTCGAATAGTCAACACCAAAGAAACTAAGGAACAGGTCAGATCCTCCAGCAAATGAGGCTATTGAAGACAGCGGGAAGTCCAGAGTTGTGAAATTATTTCAAACGACGGATGAGTGACGGGAGACGAAGTAGAAAGCAGTCAGTTAACGCGCTAAAATCTATTTTATTAATATTAAGGCTAAAATTGTGTCTCAAAATTAAAGCAATAATAACGCAATTATGTTTTTATTAATACTGAGTGCTGTAATGAAAGTTTATATTTCTTATTTTTGAGTTTAATAGGATTTAACACATTCATGCTGTAATAGAGAATATTATGCTAAACGGCTAACACATCTAAATAAACCTGTCATTGGGATGGATTGTAGTGCTTAGGGATACTTGAGTTTAGTCGCATAGTATTAACATGTTGTGTAGTTTGGTTTAGGAGTAGTTGTCCGCTCTAATACAACATATACAGTTTGGTAGCTTCAACACAAACACAGAGGCCTTGGAAAAGATCAGGGAAGAATGTACATAATAATCTTGTGAAGAAATGAATATGTTGTAGCAAAATGAAATATGTTATTGTACATAAATATAAAAAATTGCTTTCCTTTCTAGGTCCCATTGGAAGGATGTAAAAAGATGTCAAGCTATGCTTCGAGTTTGCGATGAGGCTTCAAACGGTTCTCACTCTAGAAAATATACTTAACGTTTCATAAAGTCCATTTGAGACTGTGAATAACCAAGACTTTTCCTTGAAAAAGGCGAGAGTGACATTTCAGTTAACAGTTTATTTCAAATCGTTCCTTTGTGCCTCGTTTCCTCACGTATTCGCTCAGTTTAGAGATTATTGCAGATGTGACAGGCACGTGGCATAATTTAAATTGAGAAGAAGAATCAAAACCGTATAACCGTGTGGCAGAAAACACGCTTCGCAGTGTTTTGGCTGCTGCACTTACGTTGCTTTCGGAGGCTACTGTTCGAATAAGAGATAGGTCAAGTTGGTAAGTGAGTTTTGATTTAGATTAGTTTCTCCAACCAAGTATATTGTAGCCTTGATTAGAAGCACTATTATTGTAGCCAGTTGAATTTGTAAGCTCCATCTAATTGCTAAAAGTCAAGCCGACGTATTTTGTTTTGTGTTATTTTAATATAGAAGTCGCAAGTAGTGAGGTGAAATAAAATTAATATTTAAACGTTTTGGGCATTCGTTGTTTTCAAAGTTAGATTAAGCTAAAGATGATAGCTTGCACCATACCTTTAAGGTAACATTTGAGGAGTAAGCGTTTAATACAGGTATTTATGCAATTAGAAAGACCCCTGAATCGTTATAATATTAACTAATTTCTTTGTGTCATATTAGTGGAATTTAAAACTTGTGCGTCGAAAATTTTCATCTGCGATAAAATTACGTTAATCAGTGAAGTCCTGTACGTTTCTCTTTTATCTCTTTGTATTTAAAATAGAATAACTGTAAATATTCAATAATATATCGAATTTCTTTATTTTATTTAGGAACTTCTAAAAGCGTTTGAATGGTACAAAGAATTCGATCCTCCAATTACATATAAATCTGAGAATGTAGATGACCGCATGAGGCAATTGTGTGAAAGTGATCCTCAGACACAAGTAAGGAGAACAAATGTTTGCTTATGAGCGCTTAAAGTAATTGAAATGAGTAATTGTCAACACAATTATTGAACTTGAGAAAAATAAGGCTCATAATATCTTGTAGGAATTACGTTTTATAAAGTGTGCTTATGCTTTGTTTTAGACTTTTAGAACACAAAACTCTTCTTACAAGTTTTATGTTCAAAACGTCGTAAAAATACACAAAGTTTATTCAATAATCGAAAGATGAAATAAGACATGTGCCTTTCCACTCTTAATTTAATTCTGAAAGATCAGTAGCGGATGATAGTGAAACTAATTTTGTTTACATGCACATATGCGATATTAAATTGATAATTTTCACCGGCACAGCAGCTGTTCCACTTGGAGATGGTGCTTATCAGCCTGTGTAAACCCTGACAATGATCCTTATTTTGTTCGCTGGTATACCTTGAGAACATATGCATATTATGCATTTTTCAAGTTTATGACATTTCTTTTACTGCCCTTAGTTGTAGCAGTATGCCATTTAGTTATATTTAGTCGATTGGGGATTCCAGGAGCTATTTCAGTGCATTTATGGATACGCCTAAGAGCGTACGTGTTGAAGCAGATGTTACGTACCCATACATGTTTGTTTTCAGATGATGGAATTCAGAGATAATAAGCACTAGTTTCTGGACAGTCAATATAATGGTCAGACTCCGATCCTCCACATATGCACTGCGCATTGTTCCTAAAGCCTAAGTGAAATAAATATGTATGGGCCATGTCCCGTCAGGAATTATGTCAGCTCAGAAGTACCACTGCGTAATTTATCTCTGATCTGGGGATGGTAACCCGGACCACACATCAGACATCATACAGGGCATACAAAAGGACCTCAGGGAAAACTTTCCTTATCGCACGAAACTGGAATGGATCAAAGCTCATGCCGGCCACCAAGGCAATGAGCTAGCTGATCAACTCGCCAAGGAGGCCACGACAGATCCATCCAGTACGCAAATAACCATTCCATGGCCCTTTCGTTTCTCAAAAAGACACTTCGCTTAAAGGCCACCGGTTTATGGCAAAGTGGTGGGACACCAGCGCCACCGGGAGGCGCACGCACTACTTTATCAGCTATGTGGATCCCAGCAGAAACACTGCCAACACACAGCTGGTAAGATTTATATCCGGACACGGACCTTTCCCGGAATACTTCCACAAACGCGGCATCAGCCACACAAGCCAATGTGCGTGCGGAGAAAATGGCTCACCAGAGCACTATCTTACATCTTGCCCACTTACAGAAGGGCTGCACATCAATCTACCACAGACAAACCGTCAAACCTTTTGTAAGTACATGATAAAACAGCGGCACCTAATTAAAAAGATAGTGCAACTGATGGACAAACTGTCTGACTTAAACACAGACCTCTGCCATCCTTAGATTTTTCACTCTACCTGTAATATAACTGCATGTAATATCTACCCGAAGTGTATCAGCATTTACCATGAGTACAATGGTAATATAAAGTAAATATAATAAAATGCAAGCTGCGCCATGCAATGTACTGTAATACGTAAAATAGGATAATGACCTTAATAAGTAATGAACATAATAAGCATTATAAACTTAATAAGTAAATGCATACGAAAGCAGTGTATATCTTATAAGTGTCTTAATTATGAAGGTAACATAAATTCAGTGTAATGCAAAAGTAATAATAATGTGAACAATATGTATTATAATATTAATGCACATAGAGAATTAGTAAAAAATGTGAATAGCATGTGCACTCCTTAAGCGTTTATGTTTTAGACGTGAAGATAATGCAATGTAAATGTATCATAAGGTAAATGCAATATAAATGTAAATAGCACCATTTAATGAACATAATAAGTAAATGCATACGAAAGCTGTGTATATGTTACATAAGTCTTAATTATGAAAGTAACATAATTTCAATGTAACACAAATGTAATATAAATGCAAACAACACCAAGTAATGAAATTGTGAAGGTGGTGCACATAGAGCACCATTAAACAATGTGCATAGCATGTACCCTCTTTAAGTTTTTATGTTCTAGATGTGGAGATAATGCAAAGTAAATGTATCATAAGATAAATGCAATATAAATGTAAATAACACCACTTAATGAGCTGAATAAGTAAATGCCTATGAAAGCTGTGTATGTGTAATAAATGTCTTAATTATGAAAGTAACATAATTTCTATGTAATGCAAATGTAATATTAATGTAAACAACACCATGTACTGATTCTGTAAAGGTGGTGCACATGTGCATATAGACAATCAGTAAACAATGTGCATAGCATGTGCCCTCTATAAGTGTTTTTTTTAATTTTATTTAATTTTATTTTTTTTAGACGTGAAAGTAATGCAATGTAAATGCATCATAAGGCAAATGCAATATAAATGTAAATAGCACCATTTAATGAACTTAATAAGTAAATGCATACGAAAGCAGTGTATATGTTTTGTAAATGTCTGTTAAATGTCTTAATTATGAAAGCAACATAATTTCAATGTAATGCAAATGTAATATTAATGTAAACAACACAAGTAATGAATCTGTAAATGTGGTGCACATAGGCAGTCAGTAAACAATGTGCATAGCATGTACCCTCTATAAGTGTTTATTTTTAGACGTGAATGTAATGTAATGTAAATGTATCATAAGGTAAATGCAGTATAAATGTAAATAGCACCATTTAATGAACCTTAATAAGTAAATGCATACGAAAGCAGTGTATATGATATAAATATCTTAAATTTGTATACAATGTATGTAAAATGTAACCAAATGTACTTAAATTTTCAATGTAATCTGTGTTCACAAACTCTGTAAAATGTGCATCCAAATGTATAATTATGCCCTTGTTTGGACCTGTATTGCAACTAATTATTCTGCCCAAACTCTAGATAAAGGTGGACGTGGCGCTATACCAATTAACCAATTGGCAGAGGGATGGTGCCCACGTCCTCCGTCGCATGTCGCATGCCAATATCGTTCGTTGTCCCAGAAACTTTGCCATTGTTCCATGAAAAGAGCCTTAGTGGTCCTTTTCATGTGCGACTTCGGCCATGGTGATCCGCGTATATTCGTTCGTGGCTGAAAATTTGGGAATTTGGTCTGCTTTTTCATTGCCATCTACTCCAGTATGCTCACGGACTCATTGGAGTTTGGGCTCATATTTGTAGGCAAGATGAGTAGCATTCTCTGAATCCCATTTGACGATAGTTTTCCAACCTTTTCAACCCCGTATAGCATGGAGATTTGACGCTGGGTCAAAATATGTGGTTAGTTCGTGACCAACTAGAATGCTGTAGAGAACTGCTGCTCTAACTGCAGGAAGCTCAGCTTGGAACACTATTTTGGCAGAATTAAGTTTTCGTGTCCAAATGGTGCCTCGCATCGTACAGAAGCCACAGGCTGTACCTTAACCCTCTTTGATACATCACTATATGCAGCATATTACTCAAAAGTTGATAGAGCTTATAATTTCGTATCAAGATTAAATTCTGCTGGGTAGAAAGGCCTTGTTGGGCTATTGCGTATATAGTCAGTGTTGATGAATTCTCTATCCCGCAAAGATATATTAGTGTGTAGACGGTAAGCTGCAATAATATGTGAACCCGTGTTATTCTGGATGATTTTGTTGCAGGAAATATCTGAAAAATAATGTAGTCTGTTATAGTTTCTTCGCAATGGTTTTGCAATAACGTAACTATTTTGTTGCTTTTTGGCTTTTTTTCTGCTCCTGTTTTCAAAGGAACAGTTTTAATATCCGCTACTTCCTTAGCTGCAGTAAATTTTGTTGTCTCAGGAGAGCATCCTTTCCTTAAACTCCGAATGAGATGCTCTCGTGAGAGTGGGTAACCTCTTATTACCTAGTACACTGAAACTTGACTCTTGAACTAAATTTCTTCCTGAAGATAGTCCGTCATCCGAAATATTCGTAAACTGAAACAGATTTCTCTAGATAAAAATAAATGTAAAAGTGAATTACTCTGTTCGCGTATTACAAATTATTTCTTAGAAAAGTTTGTAATGTAGAACCAGAATTATATCTAACTGAGTAATGTACATATAAAAAATAGGAAACCTTGATTTAAATTTTATCGTATTCTTTACGAAGGAAAGTTCACGGAGTATCTAGAAACTGTGAAGAAACAAACGGTACAAAATTATGTTTGAAAAGGAAACCTATTCGATAAGAATATTACGTAGCTGCTGTCTGTCTGGGTCCAAGGCTTCCACAATTTCTTCGCTTCCACATATGCCAGAATTTCTCATCATCGGTAAAAACTGTGACCATTAACAAAAGTATATATCTTCAAGCGCCATTTATTTAATTTCACGTATTTTGTATTAATATTTTTTAACTTAGTGTTATGTATTTTGTTTTATGTTATATTATCCGCTTTATGTCATTTGCATATTTTGTGTTATCAAGCATGCATTTGCGTTTTATTATGCAGGCATTTGTATGTTATTATGTATTTTATCTTGTATATTTATTATTATGCATTTTGCATATTTTTTGCCTTTATTTCACGTGTATTGTATTATAGTTCCTATGTACATTCAGATTTGTTTTTAAGTACACTTCTATGCTGATTTCTATCGAGCATTTATACACATCTTGATGCTACACAAATATCCATAACTAGCATGATTATGTTCTACTTAAAAATATGCGTAATGGTATGAACCGGTGTTGTACATGTAGACAACTGAAATTAATGGTATTAATAACAATGATTATGTTCAATTTGCAATACCACTGCTGTGAAACACTGTAAAATCTATGCATTTAATTTCTTATTCTATTCAATGTATCTGTTTTATTATTGTTCTTCTTATTTTTATATACTTCTTTTGTTTCTAATGAAATTTTTCACGAGAATGTCATTCATTTACGCATGGTTTGACCTAGAATGGATAAGATGTAATCTCTGTTTGGATTTTCAGTTTCGTTTTCTTTTCTCTTTCTCTTAACATAGTTCATCTCTGCCTGAGAATCGTTGAGCCTTTGGTCCATTAAATATTTGTTCTGCATGTGTTTTTAAATGTTCCTAAAGCAAGTCATTGCAAATAATATTTGCTAAAAATTATCAGGGTAATAGTGCTAACCTTTGCACTAGGTTAGATTAGATTAACCTTTGCACTTTACTCCATTTTGTACACATTTCACGGATCAAATGACTTCTCACTTGTTGCCGGCTTACTTCTTCGTTTCTTGAGACATCATTTGTCATCCAAGATTTTTTCCTTTTTGAACATTTGTTCGCGATTCGAGGCTTACATTTTCTCCCTCTTTGATAGCTATAATTATCATAATAATCAAATGACGGACACTAACGCCATTTAATAAGGTTAGTATGCGATCAGCTTAGGAACGTGCGAGGATTAAATTGATATTCATATAAAAAACATTAAAACCATATTTTGAAGAAACCAATTATATTAATGGAAAGGTACTTTTATTAAAGCTATGCCAGCTTTTGAGCTATACTGGCCCATTTTGACTTATTTTTCCCCACGTTAGGGTAAAAAAAAGGTATTGGGCGCATACGTCTGACACATAATTCCATCATTCTGGTTGTGATTCATCTGAAGCTCCAGTTAGAAGAACTCAATACTTGTTAACCCTTGACACACTTGTAACCCTTGAAATATCTGAAACATCAGCGACAATACTTCTGCTTTTTTAGGGCAGGCAATAAAAATGATACAGCCAAAATTATATTTATTTGAAGTTTCAGTTGTTAAAGCTTAATTTACTGCCCGTGTAAGCAATTTTGTCAACCAAACTCATCAATTCGTAATACAGCATTAAGAAAGGCAGAAACAAAAGAGCTTCACGTAGGATGAAAATTTAAACCCACTCTACGAACTTAAATTCTCATAATTTATTAAACTCGCTCCATTGACATTTTGGTGATGTAGACATAGAGTAGAACTGCATGAACGTTTCACCGCAAAACATAATTTGCTAATTAAAATAGATCAGACAGATCGGCTAGCAGTAATCAAAAGCTGTGCAACCTCGTAAACTGAACTATGGAATTCTCATGTACAAACCGCCCAGTTTCACGAAACGAAAATGTTTAATTTGATGTATAAACGGCGATTAGAAGAAGATAATTCAATGCGGATGTTTAAAGTTTTTATAATAAAAATTTGCTAATCAGACTGCAAATCGATGGTTTGATATTTTTAAAAATTTACTTATTCAATATGTGTTGGGAAACATCTAGAGCGAGATTTTTTTCCCTTTTATAAAATGTTAGACGTTAGACGTTTTCTAAGATTTCTAAGTCTACATGATCGAGATTTCTATGGTTTCTATGTCTGCATAATAGAAAAAATCCGATATATGAATCTGTACTAATTTTCTGAATATGAAAAATGTAAAATTTTACTTTTATATAATAAAGGGCGTTTTTTGTTTTACAGGATAGATATTTCCAATTCTTTATACAGCGTTTTATCGATATGATGTCGGTAAGCATAACTTTTACATAAATTTTGATATAATTAAATTTCAGTTGCACCCACTACTGTGAGATGTTAGGTATTTTAATTTCTGCACCAAAAGAAAAGTGCCAAAAGTGTCTAATATTTTCATGTTTATTGCTTTTCTTACAAAATTGAAAGAAATTTCATTGCACTTATATCGCAATGAAACTTAAATTTTCTAGTCTCCAGATATCTTTAGTTACTCATATCGAGTCTTATTTCTCTAGGATAACTGAAATCGGGATTATTAATATTTTTTATTTTAAAACTTTTTTTATAATCTTTTAAGTAATTTTAGATGATGGTACAACGCAAACGAATAAGACCTCATTAAGATGCAATGTATGCAATCCAGACAGCCACTAAAACAATTTTAACGGTTGTGAAAATAAATTTTCTAATAACTTCTATAACGGTTGAAGCCAAAAGACTGTGTACGAGAATCTAGACAGCCACTGAAACAATTTTTTGCGGTTGTGTTATGTAAAAAAATGTCAAGTGATCGACATAAGAAAAGTAATAAGCGTATTTGTAATTATTTACGAAAACTGTAATTATCCTAATATATTTCATTTCTTTACTCTTTGGGTTAATAGTTTTATTTTATTATTATTTTTCACTAAATTATTCATCTGAAAACCAGTGCTTCTATGCTAATTTTTGTTTGCTAAATTTAATTATAAAATTCGTGAAACAAAGAAATAATTTGTATGTGTAAAATCAGGAGGGCTAGCGAAGCAAAATTTTGCTGTGTCATTCTATTTTCAAAGTACGGGAAACGCGCCAAATACTGTAGAAGCTTTTTGCATTGTTCTTTCACTTGCTCGGGACGGGGTTGGAGTACGTGATGTTTTACAGTAAAGATCAAGGGTTAATGTGAGGTTACTAGTTTTGACTGGCTGCGCTTACGCAAAATGTTGTTTTTTGATTGATTTGACGGAATAGTGGTTTTACTCGTGTTTAGGGGGTGACAAATTCTGGATTTCTGGGATCTTGGTTTAGTGTGATCGCGCGTAGAATTTTCCTGCGTTGGTGACGTGTTCCTCGGCTGTCTGTGGTGTTGGTGACTTTTTCCTCGGCTGTTACTGGTGTAGTAGCTTCAATTATACTCCCGAACCGAACTTACCATTGAAAGTTCAGGGAATCGGGCTTGATAAGCGGTACTTGGAAATTGTGGTACTTGATATGTGATAAGGAAAACTTTGAAACTGTGGTATCTGCGAATTTCTTCGGTGATCTTGCGAGAACTTGTTGAGTGCGACACACTTTTGAAGGAACAGCGATGAAGAGCGTACGCATATAGTTTTTGATGAAGCAGATTTTGATACACTTGGAGATAGTTGAGATGTCGAGACGAAATTTTCTTTAGAAGAATCCAGAGGAAAAGAGGTGAATGAAATTTTTATTAGCTGGTCGACGCCATGCCTAGGTGAGCGCGCGTGAAAATTAGTATCGGCTTGCTACACATGAAGTCTGACCTAGCAGTTATGGAGGCGTTATATTCACACTGAGTTCCATATCTGTCAGCATCCATCTGAAAGGTGCTAATACATGTGAAAAATCGTGGCAAGTTTATTTCCCAGCAGCAGTAGTGTTGAAATATTGCTCTAGTTTTACCAGAGCTATAATAACCGCATATTCTTCATGTCTGCGTAGCTCGCGTGCTTCTCCGGAAGTGTCTCAACTTGGCTGAATCAGAGATGTTCTTGACCCTTCCATGGATTAGACGGCTAAAATCCGGAGTGTTCTACTTCCAATTTCCAATCAGGGACTTTTTGGAGTCGCAATACTCTCGCGGGAAATTTTTGTATCGCCTAGCTACCAGCTTGATCTCAGTTCCAGACCCATCGACGTATCGGCCCATATAGCATATTTAGTTGCTATGACGTTGCAATGACATCTCAGTGTTGCATTTGCTTCACATTTACATTTGTGACCACGTTACAACGTCGCAGAAAGTCACATTGTGATGGGCATGTTAATGTCGCACAGTTGTCACATACACGTCACAGCAAACGTTTAATGTGACCACAAGAAATTCTGACTCTTCCTCATCCTGACCTTTCTTGACCTTACTCACGCAATTCTTCTTTAATGAGAGGTATTCTTGACCCCCCCGATTCATTGCTATGTGTTTCAGTAAACCTTTCTAAATAAATTATTCTTTTGTCGCAATAGCTTGCAGTTTTAGTTATTTCGGTTTTATTAAAAGTATTAAAAGTTTATAGCGTGTTTTTATTGATGTGGTACTTCGAAATCTTTGAACTATACTCTGCGCTGAATGAATTCACATTCTACCGCATCTAGTGTTATTAAGAGATACTGACGAAAGAGTTTATTTATCTTAAGGATTTTCGCGGCCATTTTTTTTAGTTCTGTTCGCCGAACACATCGTCAGTGCTACATTTTCAGGAAAAAACTGTTTATTGTATATTTATTTGAATGATATCAGCAATTATAATAATAAAAGCGTAATTTAAATTCTATGAACAAAAAGAAATAATGAATTGGCTGTTGATTAACTTTTATTTGTATTACAAAGATTGCGGAAGCAAGTGCATTGTCAAAAATATACTCTAATTTATGTTTCACAGCTTAGAAATTTTAATTTTTGAAGTCAGTTTTATTTGGTAGAAACAATTCATTTTTTGTTGTTTTTAATGTTAAAATATAATATGAAAGAGGAATTTATTTTATGCATTTTAATGCAGTACTTTCATCTTGTTCTGCTATTTTTCGAAATTATTCACAAAATAATTATTTCCATGCGTGGTACTTAGCGCCACTTTACAAACGATGCCACACTTGGGTCCGTGACACTTGGCCGACAACCACTTAGCGGACGGGACACTTAACCGACACCACTTAGCCTACAGGACACTTAGCCGATACGGACACTTAGCCTACAGGACATTTAGCCTACAGGACATTTAGCCGACACGGACACTTAGCCGACAGGTCATTTAGCCGACACGGACAGTTAGCCGACAGGACATTTAGCCGACAAGGACACTTAGCCGACAGGACATTTAGCCGACACGGACAGTTAGCCGACACAGCACGGACAGTTAGCTGGCAGGACAGGACATTTGCCGACAGGACATAGCCGACACGGACAGTTAACCAACAGAACATTTAGCCGACAAGGGCACATTTAGTCGACACACAGAGAGTTAGCCTGTCAGGACATTTAAAGCTACGGGACACTTACCTGTCAAGACATTTAGTCAACAGGTTACTTAAGCCGACAGTTGACGTTTAACTGACACGTACCCAAAAATTATTTAAACTATGATATACAAAATTTCTCGACTACTTCCACAAGTTCAATATATGAAGTCATTTTTTCACCTATCAGTAAAATTCATTTTTCGATTTTTAAAGATCTCATATTAATTATTGTGTTAATTTAGCATTGTTTGATATGTATCGTGCTGTTTGATCTGCATTGGCCAAATTGAAAAAGCGCTGAAATTTCTAGAAAATGAATAAAAGGAAAACTTAAAGAATATTTTACTTCTAAATTAAACATTATGCACTAGTTTAGGGCTATAAGCATTAACCTAAGTAAGTATTTTAAGCGAGAGGCGTGGTCAATAAAATATTACAGAATTTTTATCTCAAGAATGGAGGCATGAACTGCAAATTATAGAGGTCGCAAGTAATTTATACCTTTGCTTGTCTTAAAAATTCACTTTTTATTAATTGATTTTAATAACAAAATAAAATATATTTGTTAAACTAACCCTCACACCATATGTTTCCATAAAAAGTATAATTCAAGAATAACAATAATTTTTATTGCATTATTTAGATTTTTCATGACAGGGAAAGAAAATTTCATTAGTGGGAAGAGCCAAACGATTTTGTAAGAGAAAGAATGTAACAGGATGTGATGTGTAAAATAGTAATGAAACGTAAAGGTATTAAAAATTTGAAAGCATTTGGAAGAGCGAGATTGGAAAATTAATATCATTAAGTAAACAAAAAAACTTATTAATGAGGTGCAGGTGTTCAAAAGAACCCAGTTGATTAAATGAAGAAGCTTTATGGATAATATTTGAAGATCTCACATTAAAATGTAATTAAGTAACCGCCGTACTTAGCTAAAAAAATTCTTTTTTCCTTTCGAAATTCCATTCATATTCCCTGACGAGAAATTTCAGGGCTTTATCAATTTCGCCAATATACACCAAACAGCACGATACATACATGAACCATATAAGAGATAGACTAACCCAGTGGGCGGAGCGTGCGTCGCCCACATGTCCGTAAGAAAGAGTAGGGACGATCTGGCTTACTTTAACACGGAAACCGTTGGCTTTTATATCACATAACTGTTTTTAATTATTAAATGTGATACGTTGTATAAGTGATGAGATTATGAAAGTCACAGTTTTTGCAAACAAGATTTAACATATCTCATAAAAGCACTTTTTACTGCATTTCGCGCATTTTTTTCAAGCGTAATTCTTGTATAAATTTCTTTACTTTAATAATATGGTAAATATTCTAAACGCAAAACTTATGAACTTATTTTTGTGTACAAATAAAGTGAAATTAAATAATACTGATAGCATATGATGCTTTGAAACAAATAAGGTGAAATTAAACAAGATCTGCTAATTTTCTTTGATTTTATGAGCATTTTCAGGCAGTAGTTTTTAAAATTATTATAGCATAACAAGACGATCATTTATTTGATTATATGATCATCAATTATTAACATTACAAGATTATTATTTATTTTAGTAATTCATAAAATTCGGAGCATAAACTTTTTTGAGTTTAATGAGGGAAGAAAAAGATAAACTCTGGAAGCACTGAGGAATATAATTTTATATTACGCCCAAAGGAGCGTTTTTGTAACGTTTTGCGTGTTACCTTTATTTATTAAACATCATGGTCTTCGCAAGTAAACCACATAAAATTTAATTCAAGAACAATATCACAAAATATTTGAAAATGACATATCTTTAGAATTT